TGTGCTGACAGTACCACCTGTCAACACTCAAGGGGAGGGGGTGACACCTAAACGAAATGTATCAAATTTTCATGAGAATATCCATCCGCTTTTTCAAGTTAGATATTGTATTCAAGTCATATAGGCCTACATCACTAGACACAGGGTGACAACATTCTAGTTGAAGATGACATCAAGTAGGCTATTGTTCTAGTATTAGGGCATGACACCCTGGATGTCATCCGCCCTAGTAACGCCACTGCTTATCATAACCCAGAGCCAAAAAAAAAGAAAAAAACCTCCAGTACTTAACCTAAAACTAACATTTTTTACGCTTTAACTGAATATGTCAAAACGACATATTTTAAAAAAAAGATATCAATACGCTAATATTGCTCTGCCGGGTAACATCCAAGATCCCTAAGAAGTTAACAGCTATGCAATTAATCCGTTACAGCACACTTTGATCCAAACGACTGACCGTTGCCTTAACTCTAACCCTTAACCACGACTTCATTATGAATGGGAAAACAACTCTTTGATGTCAACAACAGAACGGGGACAAAAAAAAAAATTCCGTGTGTCGGATAATGATCGAAGGCAACCCCTAGTGAGACAAATGTCAGAGTGAGGAGGGGTGTCATGACGCCAGCGACGCAGGCACGCCGCAGTGTAAGTGGTGCTTCAGTCGCGCAGCTACGGGAATTCCCGCAGACTGTGAGTGTTCTTGGTGCGAATGGAGTGGTCTCCGCGTGTGTCTTGGGCGAGGGGCGAGGGTATTTAGTCAATAAATGCAGGATGATAGGTAAAAAAAATGAAATGGGTGGTTTCAACGTAGCTATCAAATAAAATTATTCACCAAGTTTAAATAGAAACACGATTGCGCATAATCTTCATTAAGCAATGCTTAAGATAGGGGATCATGCACAAGATGTCTAGACGCACCATTAACATGCTTTATTGAAAGAGCTCCATTTGGAATCGGTGTTCAAGTTCCCTTTTAGATATAAAGATCCGTATAACAGATGAAGTAGAGTGTATTAGACTGCATATAAAGAGATGGTATGGTCAGCATTATGCGTGAGTCAGGTACCCATCAGAGCTGAGTGGACTCAGGGACATCGTACAGACACAAGTCCTGACCGAGATCCGAACTCGAGACTGTTCGGGCTTTGATAGAGACAAACGTAATGTAACGCTCGTCACTCGTTGATAGCATTGTGAAAAATTAGAAGAAAAAAATATGTCATCGAAAAAAAAACTGTAATTTTAAAAATGAAAATATTGATATCAGCTTTTGCGAGATTAAACCTTGCGCCAAAGTTACCAAAATGTAACAGTAGAGTTCATATTAAAACTTTTTTGTAGCTTGGTTTTTAACGCTTTAATTTGTTTCATATAAAAGTAAAGTTCCTTTTCGAACCTGACGGTCACTGGGGCATGTAATTTACCTGTACCTATGTCCTCGGCATAGGAAGAGATGGTGTAGTCTGCACTATTCTTAACTACTTTTACTTTCCCTAATGGAGTTAGGGTTCCCATCAGAGCTAGGTGGACTCAATGACGTTCTACTAATTTTATTTCATATACAGCTTGATTAAAAATGTAAATTTGTGAGTATAACCTTGCGTACTTAATGCATGCCAAGTAACATTTGTGTTAGCCTTATAATATCTTCTGTATTGATCGTAAATTATACTGACACTGATCGAACGAGTCTTTAGGTGTATTTCTTTATAATCGTTGCATCTCTTGTTCTAAGAGCCGTAGAAGGGAAAAAAAAAGACGTTTGAATAACAATTAGCATATCATTAAAACCTGGACCATTACCATTTTCTCCCTACTTGCTAGTCGCGCTTACGTCCCTTGCTTAGTGAGGCCTCGCGAATCGATAACCTACCCACAGATCGATGCTCAGGTTGACAACAATAACAAATCAATTGATTCTTGCGGCTACGTACTAGAGTGTCCGGCAGTACTGTACGTCTGGGTGAAGTTCCAGAACATTGTCTGACAGAAAAGGTGAGTATAGGAGGGAGGGGAGGGGGAGGGGGGGGGGGGTGTAAGGGTTGATTACATTTCTACGGTTGACTTATTCATTGAAAGTGTGAATCATAACATTCTGTTGATTAAACTGTTGTAAGTACCTTGAAGAAAAAATACACACACACGAACAAATATATATATATATATATATATATATATATATATATATATATATATATATATATATATATATATATATATATATACTAGCTGTATCCCGTGCTCCGCCACGGTAAATCATTTTTAAATATACCAACTTTGGAACAGAACAAAACTAAACACAACACAAACGAAGGAACGAAAAAAAAAAAAAAACAAAAAAAAAAACGAAAAAACGAACACAACACTCATAACATAAACACAATTTAAATGCAATCAGAAAGGCATAGTGCTCACAGTCTAGCCCGTAGCGCCAAATCGCGCCCTTTCCGAGTCCCGGCGGACGCGTCTGACACAGTGAATGACTACAAAACAGAGGCCTAGCGACCCTTTCCGGCGCCCGGGGACAAACTTTCGATTTGACCCTCCCTCAAACTTACGATTTGCACCCCCTCCCCTCAAAATTTCAATTTCCACCCCACCCCCTTAAACTTTTGATTTGCATTCCCCTCAGACTTTCGATTTGCACCACTTTTGATTTGAAATTCCCCCCCGCTCAAACTTTTGATTTGCACCCCCTAAAACTTTCGATTTGCACCCTACCCCCCCTCCCCCTCCGTAAAACTTTCGATTTCCAACCCCCCCCCCCCCCCTAGCTACGCCTCTCTTATAAAACCCCAGCTTGTCCGCAAACCGAAAGATAGAATAATAATAAATGATATACAATAAAAAATAGGCAATATTTAAAATATCCGTGTTTACCTACCATATATCACTTTATCAATTCACGCATTTTTTTCCCAGTATTTTAATTTTAAAAATTTACAATTGAGTTTCATAACTAAAACCATTGCGCACCCAATGTCTATAATGGTGCGGAATAGTTGATTAAAAATTAGAAGTAGTAAACAGTACATTCAGTGAATACAATAAATAAAAGATTGCCTTGTATCAATCCATGCTAATTATAATTTTCCAACAATCCGCATCCGCACAATTTGCATTCACATTTTGCTAATTATATTATTTCAACACTAATTCCTTCTAAGAGGTCCGTAGATTTGCATTCACATTTTTTTATTAGCGTGAGTTTAATTTATTTTTAAATTACCTCCCTTTTCATAATTAGAAAGAGTTAAATTAATTTGATTTTTCTACCCTACTGTTATTATGTTATGAAAATCTATCCAATTTTTCTAGGAATATAAAGTAAAATGATATTTGACATTGATCTTTTTAATCTGTTTTAGCAAAGTGCAAATATTTAATATGTTCATAACGTTATGCAAAAAATTAAACACAGTGGCATTTATAAAATAGCTCTATGCCGCTATATAAACAAACCCTACTCTATTACTTATAATAAGACACTGCGGTGCACTGAAAAGCACAGCATGGTGCGTAGTTTACTTTTATAGTCCCAAAATCTATAGCGATGACGGACGGACGGACGGACAGAAGGAAGGAAGGACAAGCACAGCCCGCTTATATTATAGATATATATATATATATATACATATATATATATATCGATTTTTTTAAAGACTATTGTATTAATGACTGTAAATCAAGTTTTACGAAGAAAAAAAACCTTTAAAAAAATAAAATAAAACAGTGACAAGTTTACAAGGGTGTGTGGCCTTGTTAGATGTTGAACCCGTGTTAACGCGTGTTCCACTATGGCATTGATTGTTGTAGAACAGGAGGTTAAGTGCCAGACACGAATAGCTGCTGGTTAAAAAAATTATTCCACACATCGACCCACCTGTTGCCTACTTAGACATGTCTGCGTCAGTAGCATAGACACGACTTAGTCAGCAACTTAGTCACATGTTAGTCGTGACTTAGTCAGCAATGGTGTATAGATTTTGTCAGCAACATATTCTAGACTTATCAACATAGTCTACTGTTAGTCACATAGTCTAGACTTATCACCTTATTCTGGATTTAGCAACATAGTAGATAGTTATCAACATAGTCTAGACTTACTCATCAACAGTGCCTAGACATATCAATATAGTCTAGACATATCAACATAGTCTAGACATAGCAACATAGTCTAGACTTACCAACATAGTCTAGACATATCAACATAGCCTAGACTTATCAACATAGTTTACACATGGTCTAGACTTAGTGAGCAATATTGACTTGAATCATTCACCAACATAATCTAGACTTAGCAACACAGTGAAGACTCGACATAATCTCGACATAACGTGATCTGTATTGTAAAATGCCAACCATTGTTCCCAGCAAGAGACACCGATATGGTTACACTAATGATAGATAACATCGAACCAAGTGTTCAGGTTCACTAGACAAGACTCCACACTGAGGCTCTACAACATTCACACTTCAATTAAACACGTTTGTGGTTTTTCATTGATGACATTATGCTGGTAAGTTACCAATGGTAACATAATCTTGTTGTACTTCAAAACATGTTTTCACCATACATTAAAGATAAGAAAGAAACGTAAACTTTTGACAGTTTCCTAAGAACATTTTGATAAATCTTGTCCAAAAACTCCCAAAAAAGAATATTTAATACTGGTCAGATGATCATACACTTCAGCAACCAACGCTTGTTTCATCGAAAACTTTTGAAATATTTGTTTTACCCTAATCTCTAGTGATTTTAATACAAATCACGATAGTTTGGTTAATATAATTCTAAATGTCAATCGCTTATATCAACAAGCATAAACAGAAAAAAACGAATGTTTGGTTATGTTAGTATAATCAAATTAGCAATCACCTATATCAAGCATAAACATCAACAAAGTACGACAGGTTGGTTATGTTAATATAATCAAATTACCAATCGCCTATATCAACAAGCATAAACATCAACAAACAAAAACACGACTTACCTTTTAAAATAAACAAAACAAATCCTTTATCCAGAAAAAAAAACTGTTCCTACTGTATCACACCACACATCCAACACTTCATCCGCTGGCTGCTGTTATTTTTAGTTTCAAAACGAAAAGAACAGAAATATCCTGACGCAGACTTGTTGCAGAAATCTGTCAAATGTCGCCGATAATGCTCAAGCAACAGGCCAAGATCAAACACTAATTACCTGCCACGCGCAGGCGATTATCTCACCGAACCAAAGGTCAGGGTTCACTGGATGCTTATTAATTTAATCCATCGAGTAGAAGAGGGATGTGGATTGGGTCAACGACATCACCCAACTCGCATCAACTAGTAGCACCATTGATATCCACGAAGCAGAATATGCTAGACCTTTTATTATTCGTTATTGCCAAACTTGGATTGTTTTTATACCAGCTAATGTACCAAGCATGAACAATGCCGATCTTCAACTTCACAATAATAGTTTTTTTTTCTCAACTGTATTCTTGATTTATGTTTTGTTCACTAGATATGCACGTGCAATATGTTTTTTCCGAAGTGTTACTTTACTAAAAGAACAATTTAAATATACTACACCTATACTCGTTTACTAAACATAAGTCACGAAAGTAAGTTTTGAAACAAGAAAATATTACACCGTAAAAAAACGTGGATGAGAAATTAATAATGAAATAGCACACGCTATACAAGTTGGCTAAAACTACACTAACTGTGAGACTTTCACTGCGTCACATTCTGACCAATTGTTCTGGCCACTCGATGAACGTTAGGATTGTTGTTGTTGTTGTTTTATTTAGGTGGAATATCCGTGTCGGTGTGCTGACTGTCCAGGTTTAAATACTGGACCAGGGAGGCACCATCGGAGAGAGCTGCACGGAGAGTCCCTGCCGGCGCCCGGTGCCACCAGGAAAAATTGATCGGCTACTGCCCGCACGACACAGCCAGCCTGACGTATGGGGTGGGGACTGCACTGGGAGGGGGGGGGGGGTGGATGGGGTTGGAATCCCATTTCGCCGAATGAAAAAAAAAAATTTCTATATGTGGTTTATCCATTGTTTTGATTTAAATAAAAATGAGAAGACACAATTTTAAAAAAAATATATATTTAAAAAAAAAATTATTTAATAATAATCGTATTTTGTGTGTGAGTACTACCTTACTCAATGGACTAATGCGTATCGTATCTGCTAGCTCTGAATGAAATTTTTTTTTCACGTTTTATGTAGTGATAATCAAGATCTCCATGTTGGAATTGGCGCCATCGGAATTTTTTACGTATACAGACTGTCGTCTGCATGAAATTGACAAAAGTGGTTCCTGGGTAGGGAAGCAGAGGGCGGGAAGGCCAGCCGCGTACAAACATTGGAATGTGAAATGTTTATTCATGATGCGCCTGCTGTGCGGTGACGTCAGAATGACGAAACAGGTTATGTTGTAAAATATGGGCTGACGAAACAGGTTATGTTGTAAAATATGGGCTGACGAAACAGGTTATGTTGTAAAATATGGGCTGACGAAACAGGTTATGTTGTAAAATATGGGCTGACGAAACAGGTTATGTTGTAAAATATGGGCTGACGAAACAGGTTATGTTGTAAAATATTGGCTGACGAAACAGGTTATGTTGTAAAATACGGGCTGACGAAACAGGTTATGTTGTAAAATATTGGCTGACGAAACAGTTTATGTTGTAAAATATTGGCTGACGAAACAGATTATGTTGTAAAATGTGGGCTGACGAAACAGGTTATGTTGTAAAATATTGGCTGAAGAAACAGGTTATGTTGTAAAATATGGGTTGACGAAACAGGTTATGTTGTAAAATATGGGCTGACGAAACAGGTTATGTTGTAAAATATTGGCTGACGAAACAGTTTATGTTGTAAAATATTGGCTGACGAAACAGATTATGTTGTAAAATGTGGGCTGACGAAACAGGTTATGTTGTAAAATATTGGCTGAAGAAACAGGTTATGTTGTAAAATATGGGTTGACGAAACAGGTTATGTTGTAAAATATGGGCTGACGAAACAGGTTATGTTGTAAAATATCGGCTGATATTTACACAAGGAATTCTGTATACTGAAAAAAAAAATTGTGTTTACTGTACAAAGTAACTAGAGCTCCCATAAGAGAAGAAGTTTTCACGTGTAAAATTTAACTCAAAGCAACATGTTTAGTTTCACAAGATTAAATGTTTATTCGGCAGAGGCGTAGCGGAGACAAACTTTCAATTCGGAGCACCCCCCCCCCCCCCCCCCACCATAATTTTTGTATATTTATAATTCAAAACTGCAGCTAAATTGAGGTTTTTTGGCGTCCCTAGGGGGCGGACACTGTTAAAAGTATATATTTTCTATATAAATTATATAAATTTCATTTCGTTCGGGGGGGGCGGTAAAAAAATTTCGGGGGGGGGGGGGGCGGAATAGATGCCATGAAGAAACTCTGGTCGGCAAAGTTAATGGTTGTTAAATTTCGAAAAAGTCTCGAGTTCGAACCCTCTGGCAGGTAAGGCACGATCCCTTCCAACACTAAACTTTAAAAAAGAAAAAGAAGAAGAGAAGGAGGAGGAACTGTACTCAAATTATCCAGCAGTGTCGTCAGTGCCGGCCCATTGGTACTTTTTACTGACCTAATTATTCTGTTTTTGAATAAAGACTTGACAAACAGTTGATAAATTAGGTAAAACCTCAAAACAAGTTGTTTTTATATTTAAAAGACATGAACTAGATAAATTAATGACGTAATTAATTAGATGTTTTTAATTAGTTAATGGACTAACTATTCATGAAGCAACACGGTGATTACGTGTTGAGCACCAACGCTAACTAAATGACGCGCTTCCACCATCAATTAGATAATTGAAACAACAGAGATAAGCCCATTGATTCATTGATTGGTTAAAATCGATACTAAGTCCAGCATTTAATGTAACTAAGGCATTAACTTTACCCGTAAATATATTCCTCAGCTTATAATGATTTAGAGAGTAGAACATAAATCTATCCCTGCCATAACGTAATTAAGATTACATTTGAGATTTCATTGAAATAAATATTTTTTTTAAAGTTCAATGAACTCATTTAAATTTGGAAAAAGGCGTAAACTTATTCGTGAGTTCAAAGTACGGGAAAAACGGACGGAATTATGGGATTTCAAACTGAAGGGTTGTTTTTTTTTTTTGTTTTTTTTTTTATGATTATTGATTCACGTCTGCGGAAATCGCGTGCAAGTTTTCTGGCTCTCCGATCCGACCTGACGAAAACATACAGACCTCGCAGACTCAAGAATATCCACACTCGGCTCTGGTCTGTCTGATTAGGGCAAGAAACAACATGTTATGGTGTCATTTAAATCAGGCGGGGGCGGGGGTGTGGATCGCACCGGGTGACACCATTTAGGGTGGTGGCACCAAGACAAAAAATGCAAGTTATAAAGAATAAATGTTTTTTTTTTGCCAGTTCAATGAGTAACTAATTAGAGTTTAAAAAAAGAGTTAAAAAGTATTTTCAGGGGGGGGGGGGAAGAGGAAGAGGGGCTAACATTATGAGCAGTGTTTCTTCCAGACTTTTTTCTCAGGGGGGGGGGGGTTTGAGCAGTGTTTCTTCCAGACTTTTTTCCCGGGGGGGGGGGGGGGGGCGGTCAACATTTTTCGGGGGGGGGGGGGGGGCACTGTTTATAGTCAAGTAGTATTTGGAATCTCTTTGCGATTTTAGACAACCAATTTAAGTGTCATTAGCCAAATGTTGTTGATAGTCCGTAGAGTTCGGGTGTCGAAATGTTAGTTGCGATGTCATGCAGATTTTTTCGAAGCCTTTTACTGAGATTAAACATTTGAGTCTCAGACAACAGCCTATATTTATAGTGATAGTGATTGTCTACTTTTCCTACTGCAAAATCGGTCTCTACTTGTCCGGCAATCTATACTTAATTGCCTTGTTTGTCTATTGCAAATTCCGGCAGCCTGCACGTAATTTCCTACTTGCCTATTGCAAAGCCCGGCAGCCTGCACGTAATTGCCTACTTGCCTATTGCAAAGCCCGGCAGCCTGCACGTAATTGCCTACTTGCCTATTGCAACGCCCAGTAGCCTGCACGTAATTGCCTACTTGCCTATTGCAAAGCCCGGCAGCCTGCACGTAATTGCCTACTTGCCTATTGCCAAGTCCGGCACTGCTCATCCGGTCGATGCACAGATTTTCCTGCTCACGCTTGTTTTAAACAGGGTCACGCGCGGGGGTCGCTGAAATCGATACAATACAGATCGGAGCACTAGATTTTCAATTCGATTGGCAATCGACGTTATTAGCTGAGCTTAGGGACAACCCATCAGCCTTATCTGGAGGCAGATCTTAAAGGTGGTCTGGATTACTAGGACTGAACATGAATTAATAAAGATAATTTCAAACCGTTTACATCGTCTTTTGTCCAGCCGTGTTTCTTTCAGACGCTTTTTTTTTCTCCGTGATGGCACTTGAAACTTTAGGGAGGGGAGGGGCGGATTTAAATTTCCGGGGGGGGGGGGGGTGAACACTGGTTAAACACATGAACTCTACTTCATCTGCCCAAAATATCACTAGGTCTAAAGATGAACTTTTATCATAGTTTTAAGTCGATGTATTGAATAGTTTTCGAGATGCAGTATCGGACATAAATGTGTCTCTATCGGCTGTTGAGTAAATTATCCAATATAAAGTAAGGTGTGGGTTCTATCAATAGTTTAATTTCAATAGCGATCAATCGCACTGGTGTAATATCCGAACTATCGAAGTCTTGTGATCAGAACAGTGTCATTAATACACGTTGTCGTCTGTCTATTGAACTGTTGCATGGTTTAAGTGAGCATGACATACAACTCACGTATTGTACGTAATGGTTTTTTAGAAATATATTTTCATCTGTACATTTGAAATTTTAAAAAAAAAGCGATAACTGCATTTGAACTTATGCGGTTGTATTTGTTTTAATATGTATAAAAAGAACGTTTAGACCGTAAATATACACCCCTCACACCCCTCACCGTCACACACACATACACACACATAGGCCTACACATGGCTACATATTTCACACGTCTCAATAAAGTACTCCAGACCAAAAATAAACCTCTTCACCAATACAAACACACAGACACACACACACAGACACACACACAGACAGACACACACATATAACGACATCCAAACTCTGTACGTGAACCAGGTCCTTAATAAAAATCTATATTTTAAAAGGAAAAATCTCCATTAAAAACTTGAACATCTCATCGACATCTGCAGCTTAGTGATGGCAGACACAGAGACACATCAAAGTGATGGCAGAC